AGCATAAATATCCCGTGGGAGAGAAACGCTTCCAGCCAGGACGTGAGTTCAAAGAGAACCGCAGCAATGAGCCGTCGCTCAACAAAAGCAGAGACCTAATCGGACGAACCCGATGAAAAGTGAGGTCTGCTTGAGGACGCTCCCGCGGCACCGCCCTCCCTTCGGGAGGCGGTATCCACACGACGGAGCTGTCCTGTTTCATCATATACGTCACCCCCCCCCCAACTCCGACCCCGTCCCGCCGCCCCGCACCGAGGGACGAAGAGGAGGCTCAGAGGAGAGGGGGTCCACCCTGAGGTCAGGCTCTCGCGGGTGGCGGCCCCGTAGGGCTCTGTTGTAATTAGTGCGCCCGTGGCGCTCGAGACTACCAAAACATGCAGAAGATAGTCCACTTTTCTCGAACCTGCCTCGGTGCTAGAAGGCACCGCAAACTGCACGCAGGTAGCAATCCACACCGTCAGAGCAAGTGAGAACGAGCACACAGTGGCCAAGCTGATCTGCAACATCCAGATTAGTGCGCACAGCTGACTGAATCCCAGAACAACGTCCAGGCAAGGGGCGATCTTTCGCCCTCGAGCCTGCGTAACATACAGAGCACTGCCAAAACTTGCCACGTCTGTTCCATTGATGCACAGGTACCTCGGCCAGCCCACCTTCAGTCCTAGGCTTTTTGATCCGCACGCAATCAGACAGGTCTAGGCGCGGCCATCGCGGAAGCAGAGTGGCAGCCAGACGGCAAACAGTTTTGGAAATCGCAATCATTCGAGAGAGTGCGTCGTCAACAGCGTTCGCGGGGCGAGGGTGCTTGGCCGCTCCCGCTTTCGCTGCTGTGTCTGCATGGCCGTTGCCACGCCTGCGCACGCGCTCGCCATCCGAAATGCCTTCTTCCTCAGGGTCTAGGTGCGCGCGCACCTTTGAGACACTCGAAAGATTGTGGCATTTGTTCACATATTGAAACACACCAGAATATTTTCGCTTATAGCTGAGACGCTCCGCGGCTGGCAACTGGTAATGCTTGACAATACCGCTGAACAGTCCGAGTGCCCTTCTGCTGGACCAGCTGTCTGCAAGCTGGCCATGCCTAAAGCAACGCATTCGGCTGCAGGAGCGCTCTGAGGCAGCGGGGCGTGCACAGGGCCGTAGACCGACGACAAGAGGCAGCCTTCATCGTCGACCCTGATCACGCCCCAGCCCGCTCTACAGAGGTCAGCAATCAAGTGCCTGAAACACGAGCCATCGAAAAACAGCTTACCAGCCATGTCCGATCTGATCTCCGCCCCTCCCGACGCGAGCGGAGCAGGCCAGACAGCGCACGGATGCTCGAAAACTCCACGACAGAACAAGAGGCGATCACCATCAGACAGATCGGACAACGCTTGATCTCGAATTGAGGCCTTGGCGATCTCCTCCCGTTCGTCCTGGCAGGCAGAGCAGGTCCACAACCTGTGATGTATAGTATCGCGCTCCATGCCACAGAGTGGGCAAAGAAGCCGCTCTTCAGGCAAGTCATATCCTAGGCTCGCAGCACGATCTGCGGTCCAAACACCATTGCAAGCAAGATTACGAATGCATCCTTGGCCAAGTGCCGAATACTTCTTACTGCTAGCCTGAGCACGCACAATGTCCATACAGACTCTGTCCCACCCCGTCTCCCACTTCTCGGCAAGGCTGCACTCTAACAAACGAACACACTGTTTGCGAGCGAGGTCTTTGAGGAGGGTGGGGCTGACGAAGGTGAGGAGGATATCAACTCCGTCATGGTCTCTGATGGTGGCGAAATTCGGCATGGTCCATTTAAGCCCCTTGAGCGATAAATAAAGCGCAGAGACAGGCCCAGAGACCTCAGACCATTTTGCGATCTTGGCTCCTTCCTCGAAAACCAGAGACCATGCACGGTTCAACTCGGACATCGGGATGGAGTAGAGGATAGAGTGGCACTGACCTGCCCAAACCTCCTTGCTCCACCGAATGATAGGCGCACGCGCTCCGTACCAACAGGGATAATTCTCCATCGCCAAGGCAGCCGTGAGAGACCTGTTCCAGCTGGACGGCCTTAAACATTTGCCCGCAGCGACACGAATGGTCTGCAGCTCTCTGTCGCTCACACCGTGGACCTCGGACCCGCAAAGTAAACCAGGTAAAGGACCAGACGCAGACAACTTGGTAGCGGACCTTCCCAGGAAACGTTTTGTCGGGCAATACGACGAACTCTGTTTTGAAAAACTTTGGCTCGGCGACGCTGCTTGGGGTTACGACCTCTATACCTCCGAGTCTTGCCAGCAGTGTCATCGATCCCAAGATTAACAGCCGTGCTACTGGTACCTGATCCAGCGAACTTACCGAGCCACTCCTGCAAACATCTTCCCAGCTTGGGGCAACTGGCAATGACCCCCGCTTTGCCGGGAGCAACTTCACAATGCAGCTCGCCCACCACTGCCTTGAATACTGCAGCCGAGCCGTGCTTCAAACCTCGCAACACATCTTTGAACTTACCTGTGGCAATCAACCCGATATCGTCAATGTAGAGGTCGAGCGAGGTAGAGGGGTAAAAATGAATGGAGGAGAACGAGCGATTGTCATATATGCGAACAAACGTGGTAGCCATACTACATCCCGCTATCACTCCCCTAATGGCCCTGTAGGGCCCATCGATATAACCAGCAATGTTGATAAACCTCATAGCCTTGTAGGTGTTGATACATAACTGAGCTATAACTTTCGGGAAATCTTGTTCAATACATCTGGACGCGAGTGCTTCGAGATCGATCAGCTCGTAGAACTTATACAAATCCCAAAGTACCGAGGCAGCGACGTCCCCTCGCCTGGTGGGCATCTCGCTGCGAAGGGTCTGGCGCCAGACTACGTCGGAGGCGCTCTTGAAACCGTGGCCACCGAAGAACGATCTCATGTGGGACTCCTCCCACTCCAGCGCATGCTGCCTACGTATTTCCCCCATATCCTATACAAAGAGGTGAAAATCCCAATAGGACGGAGCCCCCCCCCCCCATGGGTTTGGGGAGCATAGCCAGCATCACAAGGCGAATCTGAAGAGGCAACGAGGAAGTGACCTCACAGATGGCAAGGATGCAAGACAACACTCTCAGGGCCCCGTCACAGAGACTGTTGAAATGACGCACGTGGAACCCGTCCACCGAAACAGCCGATCTACCCGCGTACTCTTTGCTGGCTGACCTAAGTTGCTCAGGAGTAATTCTGGACAAAGGCTCCAAGGGAATGAAATCACAAGTCTCAGCAAAATCATCAACACTCGAGTCAGCCAGCCAGAGCGCCGAGAAACGCTTTCCCTCTGCCTCAAGCAGTGCCAGAGGATCAGCCACCACCTGGCCGAGAGCCGAAAGCGTCGAGGACGGAACCCAGGCTTCAACAGGTCTCGTCCAAAGATGGGCCGATCTCGCCCCTTGGTCCAAGTCCTTTTGAAGCCATTCCTTCCACGACTGCTCTCCCTCCTGGCGCGAGAGAGTGTAGGCAACCGTAACCGCGGCGTCCAGCCGCTCCTGTAGGCCTGCAGCTCGTACAGGGTCCTGCTCAACATAAGAAATCTCTGACTGGACCTCGGACAGCAAGGGGCCGCGGGGACCAGAAGAGATGCGTGGTCGCAAATGAATTTGGAGGGGTGGAGAAGAGAGGCCGTCCAGTCAGAGGGATCGTGGATGCCATCATCAACGCGCTCCGAGACACATCGATGAGGTCGCTTGTCCTGGCGCCACGCACGGAAAGCATGGGCCAGCCACCTGATGATAAACAACTGGGGGTGTCTACACGGACGGTGGTCTCGCTTGTGAATGTCCACCCACCAAGTCTTAGGAACCTCCCCTCTACACCCCATCTTAGGAAGGACCTTCTGGTACAACCGCACAGCTCGCGTTCAGCCTTGTTCGCCCACGCCTGATAGAGCTTAGCGAGACCCCCGAGTCCTTATCACCCGCTCGCGCAGCACTAAGGACAGACTCGGCAATCACTTCCTCTCTCTCCCAGCTCGGCGGACACGGGCAAGGCCCCGCAGGCGCGACAGACGGCAAGGGAGGAGGCTTCCTGAAAGCCAACACCTTGAGCTCATACAGTTGTGAGTGGAACTTGATCGTGACAGGGGCATGGGGGGGGGGGGCGCGGGGGCACTGCGGTCGACTCCAACCGAACGCACACCTTTAGACAACCCACTAGACACAATAAAATAATCATAGTTTTTCGACCCAGCCTCGGACGTGGACGTACACGTCGGGCTCCCCGAGGTCACAAGCTGTGCCTCCAGGGTTTCGACAAATTTAGATTCCCCTAACACCTGCGGCTCCATGTTAAAATCGCCTCCGATCACATAGCCGCTGAGGGTGGAGGAAACGAATCCGCCAATCTTATACATAATGAACTGATTGCTATCCGAAAGTCCCTGGCAGTCGTGGAGGTAGCAGCTGACCACCGCAACGGGCTGCTGCCCTCCAAGATTCACGAAAACTCCGATAGCACGATACGGGACCAGCTCACAGCCTCCAGGGGGCTCGAGGAGGCCGACGAAGTGCCTGCACATGACCGCCACCCCCGCAGAGGTCCCCGTCGTCGACGTAACCTTAGCTGGCAGCGCAAGCATCTTCCACCCGTTCCTTAGAGCCCACTGCTGAGCTTCAGCGATCCGATCCGCTCCCAAATGGTGTTCCTGCAGGAGGACCACATGGGCCGAGGTGGTGAGCAGCCAATCTTTGGCCGTGTTCCAAGCCGTGCAGTTGCATGACACGACCTCGAGAGCCAAAGATGACAAATTGGCAGCACTGGCTGCCTCAAAAAATTCTGCTGTCCAAAACTGGCCGATTTATAGCCCTGGGGGGGATCGGCGGGATAGGCTGACACGCCGTAACTCAGAGCACTCCGACAGGAAACGGTCCCGTGGCCCATGCTCGAGTCTTCGGACTCATCAGCAAACAAATGATAGATATAGCTGCGCAAACTGAGCCGAGGTGAAAACCGAAGTCTCTGCTCGCACTCAGCCC